GACTGATGCCTCCCGGGTGCCTGACAGCAGCAGGGTGCTCTCCAGGAGGGTGAAAGTGCATGGCTTGATGTTATAAAGCGCACACAAACGGCACTGCAGGACACTGAAGGAGGGAGAGCAACTTTTTACAGTCTGATAGTGATAGGAGAAGGGGGAACGGTTTTAAACTCAAAGAGGGGAGAATTGAGTTAGATGTTAGGGAAAGTTAGGCACAGCTGCCCAGAGAAGCTGTGGTGCCCCATCCCTGGAGGTGCCCAAGGCCAGGTTGGATCGGGCCCTGGGCAGCTGGTGGAGGTGTCAGGGGTTGGGGCTGGATGGGCTGTGAGGCCCCTCCCAGCTCAAACCCCTCTACCGGGCTGCGGGGCTGTGCGAAGCTCTGTGCGGGCTCCGTGCCGGGCTCTGTGCGGCTCCGCACCGCCATCTGCCGTCCGGGCCCTGCCCAGGCTGCGCTGCCTTTCTCCCCCGTCGGGAAAGTAGAGCGCCGGGACCTCCAGCAGCATCCCGACAGGAGGAAAGTGGCCTTATCCCGAGTCTCACACCGGAGCTCTCGTTTCGTTCAGCTATTAAGCGTTATGCAACGTTTGTACAGTTTAATTACAAGTTTTTAAAAGGAGCCGAGCACAACCTTTTCGTGGCAATAAAACATGACGAGGCATGAAAGATGGTTCCATGCTTTCTGCTTAATAGCTTGTTAGGCATGAGGCTGGAGGCTGAAGAGCTAGTGACTAGGCAGCAAGGTGTGAATTATTGCACCATAATTCTCGCCCTGGAGTGCTTTATTGCAATTAATAACTGTTTTCATGTTTTTAAATACATTTTCTCACACCATAAAAAGCAGAAATGGAAAGTACTTGCTAATGGGAGAAATACTGGGAGAACTGGGCACAGCTCATCGACCGGAGCAACCTCTTTTGTGCTATTCTGATCTGCTTTAAAATGATTTTGAAGCTCAAATACAGCGTGGGCCCGCAGCTCCGTTGTTTCCCTTTGTTGAAGGAGCTCTCCCTGCAAATGATTCAGAGCAGGGAAGCGACTGCCCTGTCTTGTCAGCATATCTTCACCTGAATAACCTCAGCCACACAAACCCATGCATTCAGTTCCTTGCAGTAGTCTGTCCACTTCTGAGAAATATCTGTATTTGGAAAGTAGAAAACAGAAAGGAGCAGTAGACTTAGGAAGGGCTCATTGTCTTCTTTTTTCTTTTTTCTTTTTTTGGGGGGAGGGGGAAAGCGAGGGAGTAGCCCAGTTCTGTGGCAAATTCAAACCCGTTCCAATTCAATTTAGGATGAACCAAAAGCTGAAGAAAAGCAGATATCCCAAAAAAATACAGCACTCACTGAGAGCCCTAATCCAGACCCTGCTAAGGCTGTTGGGAGTGCAGCCCTTGCCCCTACTGGGAGCTGAATCTGCCTCTCAGTGCTGAAATGCTGCCATAAAGATGCTACTGCCTGGAGCATCTCCCTTATGAGGAAAGGCTGAGTGGCCTGGGGCTGCTTGGCATGGAGGAGAGAAGACTGAGGTGGGATCTCATTGCTGTAAATATCTAATGTGAAGGAGTCAAATGTATGGGGCCAGGCTCTTCTCAGTGGAGCTCAGCAACAATCAGCAATGACTAATGGGCATAAACTGAAATACAGGAAGCTTCATCTGAACATGAGAAAGAACTTCTTTGAGGATGACAGAGCACTGGAACAGGATGCCCAGAGAGATGGTGGAGTCTCCTTCTCTGGAGATACTCAAGATCTGCTTTCCTGTGTGACCTGCTGTAGGGAACCCACTTTAGCAGGGAATTGGACCCAGTGCTCTCCAGAGGTCCCTTCCAACCCCTACAATTCTGTGATACCTTTCTCCACTTGTTATTAAACAGTCCTGAGAGAGATGCTTGGGGTCAGTCAATATAACCTGCTTTAATGTGTGTGTAACATAATATGCTGTATTAACATTGCTGAATAGATTGCTTGATCAACTTGATGTCAAAAAGCTGATCTTTAGTATCTGATAGCAAATACAAGGACTGGGAATACAGGTAACAAGATGTAGAATTGATTGGTAGAACTTTCTTTTAAGAAAGACTTAATGGGATTGTGAGATTAATGATGGGGGTTCTCTGGTTGGCTGTCACCAACCCCAGGGGTTGGTAATGATAGCAAATGGAGGAGGTAGGTCAGGTGCCCTGGTAGTCTCTCTCTGGATGTTAGCAGACATGTTTGGTCCATTACTCAATTTCTGGTCTGGACACAACACAAGGTAATTGTAGTACCACAGAATGAGAAGAGATTGTATTTTGTTCTGTCCACACTTAGTAAATCTGTGACAAAGTCTTGCCTCCCTTTCTGCCACTACAGCTGCTGCTGTGGCTTTTCCTGCATCTTCTTACACTGTTAGTGTGCTTATTGCACCAGGGGCTGTGTTATGAAGCAGGAGTCATGCTGAGCAAGGTACAGGACAGACCCATAGCCCTGTCCTGAAGAGCAGCAATGGAAGAGACAAAGGAAAAGTGAAGGGTAGAGGTGCCCTGCCAGTTAATGGAAGTTGTAACAGAAGGGAACAGTCAGTGTGTCCTCCCCCAGGCTGACAAACAAGGGTGGGTGGCAGCGACTTCTCCCCTCTTCCCTTCAGTGCTGGGAGCTGAGGACCTGCGAGCTAGTGATAAAACATTTCCAGTCAAAGGCACTCAGCTGCAAAACAAACAAGAACAAATACTGGGGATACGGCCAACTTGGGATGCACTCCACAACTCCTCACTTGAAAAACAGCTTTCCCGCCACCACAAAGCAGGGAAAACAGGAGCAGTGCGGAGTGCTCTCCCTCCTGACAAGGCAGGAAAACAGAGAGGCCATGGCCTCAGTGGGAACCTCCTTCTGCAATGACAGCACTGGGCAAAGCCCTTGGAGAGGGGTGGTGGAGAGCAGTGTTGGCTCCCACAAGGCCTCAGGCAGGGGACTGCCTCTGCGGAACCTCCACACTGGGCTGGGTGTGTTCTCCAGCACACGTATCATGGCTCCAGCACTCAGCAGAGCTCCTGAGTGGAAATCAGTGGGACTGACACCAAAGAAAGGGAGTCACAGAACCATTAAGGTTGGCAAAGACCTCTGAGATCCCCCAGTCCAACCACCAGCCCACCCCCCCACGCCCACTGCCCACGTCCCTCAGTGCCACATCCACACGGCTCCTGAACACCTCAGGGACGGTGACTGCACCACCTCCCTGGGCAGCCTGTGCCACTGCATCACCGCTCTGAGAAATGTTTCCTAATATCCAACCACATTTAATTAGCCCCATTTTAGAAGTAAAATACGTGTGGGGTCAGGCCATTACAAAGTTCACTGTTCCAAAGCTTTGTGGTATTTATCCTAACGCTACCCCTAGAGACTGAATTCCCCCGTCTCTTTCCCTGTCATCTTTAATAAGCAATGGCCATACATTAACAACGAGGTGATGTTACAGCTCCGAACATAGCAGGCTTTGTGCCTGTGCCCTTTTGTTTGTTGCTCCTAAAATCCATTTAATCCAATTGGATGTTGCTTTTAAAACAACGTGAGTCAACTGAATCTATTTTTAAGGAAGTCTGCCTGAAAAAAATTAAATATTAATACCTGATTTTGAACGATTTGGAAAATCTTTAGTACACCTTATTTTATTCTGCAACTGCCTTTGCTAGCTATTTTTGAAAGGCTCCGAGTTTTGTATAAATCCTCCTTGCAAAATGGGTGAAACAAACAAAATGTAAAACTCATCTCCATAAAGCACAACAGAATAATAATTTCCAGATGGGCTTTCTGATGGAAGATCAAAGTCCTTCATCTCAGACTTGGGAAATTTCCCTTCCACGCTGGTATCAGTTTTATCTCAATGCAGTCTGTCCCAACATTGGATTCTTTCAAAAAGACAATTAGCTAGATGGAGCTGCGGGAGACTGCGCTTAGTGCTGAAGAATATGGAAAAAGATTTTGCTAAAAAAAGCAAAAAATGTTGTGGGTAGGCAAAGGGAGGATGAATCTTTCTCACTTTGAGTTGTGCAATAACTAGACATTTCTATACACTCAAAAATGCCAGTTTCAAATGCAAATATTAAATAAGCAAAAGAGGGCTGTTTCTACATTGGTGCAACCAGTTTGGACAAACTCCCAGCTATGCATCTTTGATTTCAAACATCTCGAGGCTAGAAAATAATAGCTTAGTGGTTTTCCATATTTAAGTAAATGTTTTATGCATCTATGCAGTTTCAGATTTTTCTTCCAAGAACCAGAAGTTTCTCCTGAAAGCCTGTACACACTGGGCATCTGCATTTTCAGCTTAGCAGTTCCAGAGTTTGCGTAGGGGTTCCTGTTTCTGAAGTTCAGTCACTGCTAATAGGTGCACCCATACCTCTGAGTTTTTTCTGTTTGTTATACATAATAAGTACCAAAAAAAGATGTACAAAATACCTCTTCATTTAATCCAGGCTGAGATTTTCAAAAGGTGGAGGAAGTCAAATTCCCCCAGTCCCATTCCTCCAATTAGGAATCTGCCTTCTGGAGGAGATGAGCTTCACTCCCTCTCTCTGTCTCTCCCACGCTGGCACATTTCCATCTTGTTTTGCGCTCTCTACTTGGAAGCTTTCACAGAAGCACTCCTAGTACAGTATTTTTGTCTTCATGGTGCCATGCAGGACGTGTCTTTCTGGCAAAAAGGGCTGTGACTGCACAGCCTGAAATACTAATGGAGCTCAGTAATGAGCAGGTTTTTCACCCGGCAAAGTCTTTTCCCTGACCGCTTTTCCCAACGACATGAAACAGTAGAAAGCTTTGCAAGAAAAAAATCAACCAGTCAAAACTCACAGATGTACAACTCGTATTTGAGGAAGCAATTCATCTGCAGGTCTCTTGGCAAAGGGGATTATGGAACCGAAAAGTAATTGCGTTGCCATTTAAGCTTCTACATCCACCACGTGGTTTGGTTCACATCTTGGATATTGTTTTATCATTCAAATCAGCCTATAGGTCTCTTTCTCATTGCAGACACAAGGCAAGTGCAGCCATCCCCGCCGTGGTCCTATGACCAGTCCTACCAGTACCTGGGCTCCATCGCGACTCCCTCGGTGCATCCTGCCACACCGATATCGCCTGGCAGGGCCAGCGGCATGACGTCCCTCACCGCAGAGCTTTCCAGCCGCCTCTCAGGTGAGCCTCTGCAAATTGTTGGTGCTGGGTTTCCCATGCAGTGATCACTGTGTCCTCGGGTGCTGCTGCAGCTTTTCCCTGCTGCTGGTGAAGCATATTCTGAGCTTTCTGCAGAGAGCCATCTCAGCTGGTTGACTGGGATTTGCGCAAAGAGTGAAGAAATGAGGTTTGGGTCCCAACATAGTGTTCTCAAAAGAGAAAGAAACAGGAGAAAGTGGCTACTTTGAAGATGTCTGGAACTATAAAAATAGTTGAGATAGAAGAACTGTCATATGAATGCCACAGACTGGTTCTGTTTCCTTCCTTCTCTCAAAATTCAGACCAGAGTACAACAGATTATGGGTGGACATGCTGCATGCAGGATGGTGTTTTTTGACACGTTAAGTGTTGCGCTGTACTGTCTTGTTACATCTTTCTGAAATAGTACTGCAGGGCTTTACAAGCCAGCATAAAAATACAGCTTGAAAGTGAAAGCTACCCCCCTGGTTTGCACTGTGCTCAGCTGACCATCTGCTGACTCTAACCCCCACATATTGAACCAATATATGTGTGTCCAATAGCAGAAAATTTCCTAAAATGAATGAGAGACATATAATCCAACTTTGCACATGGCTTTCTCAAAAAGCATATTCTTTGGCCATACATATTGCTCTCATTTGAATAATCAGGGCAAACTATTTCATTAAGGATTTTACTTTAAAAAATCATGTTTCTTGTCTAAACAAACAGCCAGCTGGAGGGTTTTTAGACATGGTGCCTCAAAAGACAAAGGATATCAGACATACTTAAAACACCTTGACATTAACTTTTGTTGTCTTGCTTTTTGCCAAAGTAGGCAGAAGAAGCCCTCCTCTGATGAGTGATGTGTCTAGGCAGTTTTAAGAAGTTTGATTTCTTTCTCAGGAATGAGGTGTGGAAGCACCCTTTAATATCTGGCAGGTTGTCAGATGTCATCTTTGGCCTTAGCCACCCTCAAGCTCCTACCACTCCACACCATGGTCTGTCTTACCGTGTTAAATCTAATGGTGCGGGGGTTTGGGGGAAGGAAATGTGTTCGAGGGTCCCACTGATCTTCCAGAAGTCAAAAAGACAGAAGGCAAACTGAAAAAGGAAGCATACCACATGCGTCAGAGCTTTTCTGAGAAATTCATATAAATTCATCAAAGAGTGCTGGCTGTGCAGTTGACGAGCTTTCAGAGCTTGGCGCTGGAGTGTGTCTGCTCTAGCTTTAAAATTGGCCAGAGCCAAGAGCTTTGTTTTCCCTCTGCTTCTTCTCATGAGTATTTCCTTCAGCGTATGGCTCCTCTTCTGCAGACTCCACACCTTGTCTGGTGGAAGAAGTTGTCTTCTGGAAACATTTTTTCTTAATTATGATTGCAGTAATTTTAATCACGCATAGCTGCTAGCTCTAGGGACTGACACCTTCCATTAATCTGAGTCACAATGAAGATCCTTTCTAGAGAAGCCATTGTCTGCTCTGCTTGTGTAATCTGTGCTCGTCAGAGGAGGAGATGGTGGGACTGGGCGTCTTTTCACTTGTGTCAGACAAAACAGAGCATAATTTGGCCATCCTATAAAAACCTTTTTATAAAAAGCTCACTTAGGATGAGAAAGATTTCTAGTACAATTGAAAGGGGGAAAAAAAGCCCAACTCCCACATGTAGCTTTCTGCTTTCAAAAGGCATTGCTGTTGTTATCCCTTCTTATATGCTTACTAGAGCCAAGATTTTTGGAAATCATAACAACTATGTAGACACTATATGAAGACCCACATATAAAGACCTCAAATGAACCTGATTTTTTTCTGATTTTGGTAGTTTCAGAAGTCAGTGTAGAACTGTGTTGCTAAATGCTAACAGCTGGGCTGAGCCTATGTGTGTAGAACTCGCCTGTGTATTTTGAAAGGACAGTGTGTGCTCCAAGGAGCTTCCCGTTTGAGTCAGAAGCTGGGAGCAAGGAGAGACTACACAGAAGCTGAACAATTTGTATTTAGGTCCTATCAGTGTCTGTGGTGACTCGTGATTCTAAGCAAGAAGACTGAGATGTGTATCCATGTTCCCCACCCACCTGCTGAGGATGAGGGCACTCTGGAAATGTAAATTGCATGTGCTGTAAGATCTCTGTGAGCAAGCACGTACACCTACAGAACATGGTGAGAGCTTGGCACTCCTCTTTAATTGCTGCTTTACTGCAGTAAATCCAAAACATCCAGACCTGTTAGCACTGTGTGTTAGAGATGGGGTGCGGGATAGCTCAGTTCTTTCCGTGTCAACACTATGTTAGTTAATTGTGGAACGGGATTCTGATGTTGATAATTGCCTTGCAGAGGTGCATTTCTGCTCTGCCAGTTTGACAGTCTCTGCTCTCCTTTCCTGCAATCCAGGTGCTTCTGACTTGACGGCATTCAGTGACCCCAGAGTGGGGATTGACCGCTCCTTCTCCGCACTCCCTTCCATTTCTGATCCTCGGATGCACTACCCGGGAGCGTTCACCTACACGCCAACTCCCGTCAGTTCGGGGATAGGGATCGGTATGTCTGCTATGTCCACAGCCACCAGATACCACACTTACCTCCCACCTCCGTATCCTGGTTCCTCTCAGGCCCAAGGCAGCCCATTCCAGACCAGCTCACCTTCGTACCACCTCTACTACGGAACCTCCGCTGGGTCCTATCAGTTCTCCATGATCTCAGGAGGAGACCGGTCCCCCCCGCGCATCCACCCCCCTTGCACCAATGCTTCCACAGGATCAACACTCCTCAACCCCAACCTTCCCAATCAAAGCGATGTGGTTGAGGCGGAAGGGAGCCACAGCAACTCCCCAACCAACATGGGTACCACGGCAAGGCTAGAGGAAGCGGTTTGGAGGCCATACTGAATGCATTTTAAGTAGTCGTGGGCCAGGACTAACGTGCTTTCGATTTACCGATGTCCGTAGGTATCCCATAAACACCTGTCTTGCTTATGGGCCCTGCCATGTTCATACATCACTTCCAGAAGCAAACTCTCCAGAAGTCAGCGGTCCCAGGAGCAGTGGCATGCATTGGGCCAGCTGCGTGGCTGGTGAAGCGATGCCACGCCAGCAGGATACCCCCCAGGGGGCTGAGCTTCTGGAAAGGAGGACATTCAGGTTGGTGGCCTGTAGGTAGTGAGGGTGAGTAGGAAGATATCCAGGCTGTTTTCAGGCTTGTGGCTTTCAAACATGCCCAGGTTTGAAGGTCTCCACAGCCCTAAAGAGATTTTCAGTTCACTTCTGTTCTTAAGACTTAAGACCCAACAGAAACTTAACGAGTTTACTGCATCTTATGGACGTATTAACTATAAGGAAGTATAGGAAGATTCTCAGAGGGAAACTGTGAACGCTTCTGTTTTAGCAATGCTGTGAATGAGAGGTTTTATATGTTGGACTTCAGTTTTTCCTTTCCTTTTTTTTTTTTTAAACGACATTGTGTATTCTGAAGAATATGGAATTTTTTATTGCTGTTTTTTTTGTTGTTGTTTGTTTGGGTTTGTTTATTTTTTTTTAAGGATGCAACTCATCCTGCTTTGCATCTAATTTGTTTAATTTCTCTTGGCACCTTATAAATCGCAAAAAAAAAAAAGAGATTTTACTTTTTGTTGTTGTTTTAATCACGCTTGCTTCTTTCTTGCTTTGTCAACTGAAAGAATCAGCCCCTTTTTCAATGAGTTAATTTAACTTTTTTTCTCTTGGACTTTTTTTTTTGATAGAACGGCTACAGCCTTGGGTCATTTTCAACTACTGTACTACTTTGATGATATTTATGCTTGATATTTAGACTTTTCTTATTTGTTGATACTATTATTATTTAAGTATGCCTATATTAAAAAGATCAGCAATCGCCTTTTTTGGTAGCAGCCAAAGTCGAATTTGTCACATTGAAAAAGGCTGGAATAACGATGGGTAAAGTGACCTCCTAATTACCTAGAAATATTGTTTACAGTTATCTCCCTTTCATTTTACTCAGCTAGGTGAGTCCAGAGCCTCAGAGCTGTTTGTTTAGATGCCCCACTCCCACTGAAACAATTGAGGCATCAAAGTCCCCATGAAGGCACTGTGCCTTTCCCCCCAGCGGAGTCATCTCTCCACACCCCTTCCGCGTTTTTCCTTCGTCACCAGTGGTGATGCTCAGGATCAGTACTCAGGAGGTACTTATAAGGCAGTCTTTTGTATTCCCTCAACTATGTAAGTCCCCACACAGCCCTGTTCTGCGCTGAGCTTCCCTTGGCTTCCTGGTAGAGGCTTCATAGTCTTTCAAATCAAAAGCCAGCACACAGTTAGCGTGGCAGGAGTGAAGTGAAGAAGACTGATATAATCAGTGTGAGACTTGCTCCCAGCTCAGTGGAGCCAAGATTTGCAGTACAAGAGCCATGTTTGAGTGTACTGGAAAAGAGATCAATTTGTGCATCACAAAATAGCTCAGGCTGAACAGAGTCAAGTTCATCTGGAAAGCAGGCCAGCAAAGAAGGGGCCTTAATGGTTCTTCCATCACTATATATTGAGGGAAGAGGAAGGAGATTTAAAATCTGTGCACAAACTATTTGGTCCTGTAGCAAATATGCACAGCTTGTACTGGGAGCATGTTAATACAGTCGTCATCATTGCCCATCGTTACAGCACAAACATATCAGATGTCACTGTAAAGTTTATGGCACTATTTTATTTGAGGGTTTGGTCTGAACGCAGCTGTTGTACTACTCATTAATTACAGACTGCTGATGTTGACAAGTGTGCGTTCCAAATGATCCGATTATTATTTAATGTACTTCTTAAATGAGTGAAACAATTGCAGGTCAACTCAGAGAGTATTTGAAAGCAGGACTTCAGATCAGTGTTTGATGTTTAAAAAAAAAAAATATGAAAAGGATTCAAATTAAAAAGATCCTTGGCTGCAGGCAGCAGAACAGCTGGACTTATTTAAAACCATTTGTTTTTCAAGTTTTCTTTTTTTTTTTGTATATGATTTTGCTTCTTTGTTTGAGTCAGATGCAGTAGCACTTTGGTATTGAAAAGTTACAAACTGAAGAACTTGCATTGTCAACAAGGTCATCTTTGTGCAGAAAATAGGGGGTGTTTCAAGAGATCTCAGCAAAATTTCAAAATGGTTCTGCTAAAATATATACGTGGCCTCATGCTTTTGTTTAGCGTAATGGAATTTATCATTTTCTAGAGTTTGCTCTGATCAAAAAAGGCAGAAAGCATCAAAACCAGTATCAGAACAGTTAAAAATGCATTTTGGAAGTATGGAGACCTTGCTGAATACGGAAATAGAGAGACCCTACCCTTGCATAGTTGGAATCTCACCTCATCAGTAGCCTAAAAAAAAAGTCCTCCCTCACTAAACAGTAGCTCTGTTGCAGAATCCATTTTACACATTCTCTCGCACTCGCCGTGCAGTTCAAATCCCCATTGACCACGGCTTTCATATCTGCCTTGTGACTGGACCACCCAAGCGCATAGTACTGCGAGTGGGAACCCAAAGGTGAGGGTGAGGAACCGCAGAGGAGCCGCACAGGGCACAGCTGCTCCCACATCAGTCTCTCCCCACATCCACGACTGCTGTCTGCTGAAGCCTTAGCCTGTTTTAGCCCATAATGTTGTACTATTCCCTCCTGAAACTAAATTGATGGGAAGGTGAGCCCAGTCTGCCGGCCCAGTGGTCAGGCCTAACGTTTGACGTTTCTTACGGCTACACGTCTACTTTCTTCACACCTGCCCTGAAGTGGAAGTTTAATTTTAAACTCCCTGCTGTGAATGGTTTGAGAAAGTGTGGAGCTGGTCGCAGCACAGCACTTTGTGTTTCTGAAACACAACCAGAATGTGGGGTTTCCCACCTCGCCCACCATCACTGCCAGCAGCTCCTGAGTCAAACTTCTCTGTGCACACCAAACACAGAACAACGCAGTGCTCCCCTTACAGAGGAACATCTGAGTTTATTATCCCGTGCAATTAGTCTGTTTAATCACCGTGAGCTACAGTGTATTCACACAAGTTCTTATGAGACACCACAGTTCACTCAAATCTCTTTTTATAGCCATCCCCTGCCCCGCTCAGGACAGCAAAGCTCTCTGAGGCTGTAAAAACTCTTGTGTCATTCCTCTCATATCTAAACAGCACTTGGCAGGCAAAAGGAGGACAGCTAGGTAAAACACTTCCCCCATTCACATGCCTCCAAATTATAGTGTATAAGTATATATTTTTATATGTAATATATATATATATATTTATATAGTTTTATCATCCCAGTTGCTGAATGGAATAGCACTGTTGTGCTTCCCTTTGCAAGTCTCGGTCAGCAGAGTGCCTTAGGCTCCTTCCCCTACCGACGTGCAGTAGTTGATGGCAGTCTCTACTATCAGCTTGTGTGTTCCTCTCACAAGACACAGCTTGTTGTCCAGAGGCAGCCTCATCCACCAGTTCCAAAGTAAACACAGGGCCGACCGCCTGTTTGCATAAAGACCCCTTACTTTGCTCTCAGCGTTTCTGCTCACTTGCAGAGTTCCCATTTGGCTTCCAGAGCAAAGTGAAGGAGCTTTAGTGCAAGAGGAGGCAGACGCAGGGAGCGTCGTTGCTACTAAGGATTTTACTTGCAGAATTATGCCAAATAAACTTCTGGAAAGGAGAAAAACGGTTTCCTCCAAATGGCCCACAGTCTTTGTCAGAGTGTTCTGAATTGCCTGCACTCTTGAAACATTCATTACTGCTTTCTGGATGACCTTCTCCATTAATGTATTTGAAGATTCAGGATAAGTGGATCATTTTCAATTCGGGCAAAACACTTTCTTGTTTTCCTGCATCGTAACATTCTTGTGTTTTATTTTTGTTAACCTTGCTTGGTCAGTACTGATCACTTGGCATTTTTCTCCGTGTCCTCAGAGGGTTGCATCAACAGAGTTACTTGTATTTATGTATGTAAATAGAGTTCAAAAGCTTCACAGCAAAATATTTAGTGCTTGTAATTACTCTGCCTTTTTTTTTTTTTTCCTTTTCGTTTTCCTGTGTTTTTAATGAACTTACCTTTGTTTGCTTAAATACTCTAGTGAGACTTATTTCTTTCCAAATTAGTTATTTTAGGCTTCGAGATTAACTACATTTTATTCACTTTTGTAAACAGTTATAGCATGGTCCCTATCCAACACTCTTCACTTTTTCTTTTTTTTTTTTTTTTTTTTTTTTTTTTTTTTTTGTGGTAGGGGAGAAACGAATGTGCAAAAAATCTGTGGGTTATTTGTGGTATCCTGGGTGTGACAGTGACACGCTTTTCTTTCAAACACAAACTCAACTTTCAGTCCGAGGGGGTGGCATGGCAAGTCAGAGGGGAGGCCTGGTGGGAGACGCGCTCCTATCAGGACGGCATCAAAGTGTGTTCGTTCAGCATTTACTGGATCTGTTTACAAACCAGATGCTGCAGCATACTGGAACAGTCACATTTTCCTTTGACGCTGTCATGCTGAACATTTCCAGAAGGGGAAACTACCAGGTTTTGGAAGTTTGCTTTTTTGGTTTTTGATCACAGGGGGATTTTTCTTCCGGGGGTGGGAAGGGGGGCTGCTGTTTTTTTGGAACCAGAAAGGAAAAGAGAATAGAGTAGATTTTTCCCCCACTACAGAAAGTCTCCAGATACCACGTCAGAGTAGACTCTTGCTGTACATATGGATGGCTGTGTCCAGCTCCACGGGAAAACTCATTACAACTAGCACGCAGAGCAGCTGGACTGCTGCGTTAGTTTTAATGAAGACTTTCTTTCTTTCTTTGTACCACAGTTTCCTCTGTAAATTCAGTATCATAATTAGTGTGAATGACAAATAAAACGTTTGACAAGTATGTGCGTTGGCCTGGTGCGTTCTTTCATCAGGGAGAAACCGACTATCACAGGAAAAGTACCCATCAGAGAACGGTACTGAGAGTGTATCACTCACAACATCAAAAATACATTTCTGTGGGTTTTTTTTTTTTAATCTATTTAATGCTTTTTTTACATTAAATTGACGTTTTTCTCATGCAGAATGACCTGTCTTGCTATCCAATAGGACCATCAAAACAAGACTCAGATGAGACTTTGCATGTACAGAGGCTTGGTAATTGAACTGTATCTCCAACGTCTTGATTAAATTCTTCAATGGTCTAAAATCTCCTATATCTGTTATTTTTCTTCCTTCATTTTATGCTTCTTGGGCTGGATCCTCTTTGATATTGATGAGTTGAATCTTATTTTTAGGAGTACCAAAACAGTTTGAAGTCATGCTACTTTTGAGATACACTGTTGTTTTTTTCCCCTCTCTTTAAATAAATAATGGAACAGTAGTGTCAATGAAACATTAATAAGGGAGAAATCAAGCTTTCAAATAGAGAAAAAGAAGAGTCAATAATGAAAGTTCAATCTGAAAGCCCCAGTATCTACACATAAAATCTTCTAGTATTGGCCTGACAGAGTACATTGCATCATATTGAAGAAGTTTTCAGTAGTCCACTTCTATACAATAATATATGCAATCAAAGATTACCTTTCATTTGTTTCTCTCAGTGAAAAACAAGCTGCAAAGCACACTATCACAGGTATATTTTTTCTAACATCTCGTCAGGTAGCATTCCATCTCCTAAATGATAAGTCATAGTATCATTTTAAAATTGGGATCAAGGGACTACGAGAAAACAGTTACCGAATTCCAAGCACTTAACTTTCTAACCTCTTTCTAACCTCTTTAGGCTGAGCTAACACACGCCTCTCACAAGGTTACTGCTCAGTCTGAGCACGTCATTTCTTTCTGGCACAATCCCACATTATCCTCACAGCATTGCACCTACATTTTTGCAAGGGTCACCCACAGAGATTTTTCTCCTTAGCCCCTGAAACCCAAGAGCACTTCTTCAGAGGTGGATGGTCGAGCAGAGCACAGATCTATTTTGTTTTCTACTTTAACACAGCAGGAAGAGAAGCTATAAATAGTGACAGTCAAAACAAAAACCAAAATTTTTACGCCCAAGGGCAACTCAGCAGAAATATTTGTAGCTGGATTTCAAAGACTATAGGGAGGACGTATGAGCAGAGATTCCACTTCATATAGGAGGGGAAGGCAAAGGACTGCAGTGGCCACTTGGACATGATGCACACATTCCACCATTCCCTTAGTGCAGACCAAAGTTACCTGTTTTCCCCAGGGTGAGGAAGCAGAGGCAGCTGCCCTCCCTGCACTCTCTGCTCTCCGAGGAGCTGCCCCTGGGCATCCCTGTGAGGCAGGTGGCTTGGCCATGCCTTCCTCTGGTAGCTGAGAGAGGCCAGCTCAGCCTCACCTCTAGCATTTTGAGGGGGAGGAAGAAGAAAGAGCAGAAAGGTGAGGAATACAAAGGCTGGAGGCTGCTGTTTGTGAGAGGAGGGGCTGGTGGGGTGAACCCACACAGTTGTTGACTTGCTGTTCTACCCTTACACTCTGACTGACAGCTTTTGACGGGCTTTAATTATAAAGGCCATTGTCATGGGTGTTCTCTGCACTGCTTTGTTTGACTTGTGCAATGAGGAAACCCCTCCCTCTGGAGTCAGGCTTCAGAGCTAAAGCAGCTTATTAAATAATATCCGCCTGAAAGGCACTGTACGACTCAACACAGCTGTCCTGGAAAGACAACACAGGTGTGTTACCTTTGGTTTACATGGCTTTTTTCCCTCTTTTCAGTGGCTTGTCACACAAGACAACAGGCTTGGATTAGTGGTGAGTGTACTGTGCCCAGAAGTTGTACTCTTTTTCTGAGCAGGCACAATAATCCTGGTATTGGTGCTATGTATGCGGTCACGGAACTGACTGTAAACTGCATTAGCTGCTCTGAGACAGATCTTGTTCACAGCATTCATAGCTTATAAGCCTATCAGCAGTGCCACTGCTACAATGCTGGAAGACCTTGTAATGACACTGT